ATTTCTGGCCGAACCTACAAGATCGTGATTCATTCGTAGTTTGTTCAGAAGATCTAAAAAAATGGGTACGGTCACACGAAATATGTTGCTGAATCTTATGGGATGTCCAACAAGCATCTCGCCCACCCATTTATCCCCAATAAATGACAAGGTCATTCGCGGTGTTCATACTCTGTTTGAGCGGTAGTACTCTAATAACAATATAAGAATTGTCATAGTCATACTTTTGCAGCGTTCTCGACATAACACTTGTCGCCACCGATTCATCCTGTATGAATGTTGTATTATGCATAAACAATTTCTTAAAGAAAATACAAAGAAATCAAACAAATATGAAAAAAGAAATTTTTTTCGAAAAATATACTACTCCAAATCAGAAACAAAAATATTGTGTATATCAAAGACTTCACCTAAAACCTAAATAAAAATATCCATTACAATAAACAAATACAATAGACATGAGATATGAAATATTTATTTATCAATTGAGAGACGCAAATAATCAAGACGCAGCTCGGGGCGGAGCCTCTTGAAAATCTGCCTGCAGGTTGGGTCCTCGAGAACCCTGTCACATTTTAAGTAGAATATAGGATCAACAAGAACTTCTAGAATTTCATCTAAAAAACTCATAAAACCATCAACAGTGGAATCATCCACCACAGGTTCAATTAATATCAGAGCTTCAAATACAGTTATCAGTCTATCAATTGAGCTCTGCATGAAAATACCTTTTATTTTTTATTTTTTTTTCCATCTTACGCCTTTTTGATTGGCTAGTTGACTCAAGCTCCTAGGGTTTATGGTAGAGCTTTCACCTGAATCGATAACCTGATCGGTGATCACCTCAGTTGAGATGCCAACAAAACCCTGCTCGCTTGGGTTGAACGTATACTGACCCGTAGCGACAACCCCCTTGAACATAACATCCAATTTTTCTTCCAAATCTGGCTCAATTCCACACAACTTAAACTTCTTTGTATTAGGTACTGCCTACAACAAGGAGGGAGGGGATGGGAGCATATTAGGTGAAATATAAGTATAAATGTAAATTAATTAAAGAGTTCGCATGAGTACAATTATTACCTCTAATTTTTCAGTCTGTCATTCCTCTGAAGAGTCAATGGTACGCTTGACAGGATCCCAACCCAATCTCATCGATCCATGTTTAAGTTCTTTCCATAACTTCCAATTTTTTTTTAGTTGATCCCACTTGTTCTTGAATTTCAATCTATCGTAAGTTTGTTTTGTCAATTCTTTAAACTTGTTGGAAATTTTTGCCACCCTTCTTTGTTCAAGTAGGCTGTCGGTTTATTTCCAAGTTCAATCTCCTTACTACAGAGATTGCAGAAAATGTTGGTAACTTCTTTGTCCCACATTACTGATGTTGCTCCTTTGTTTTTAGACATAATGGGACTACTAAAAAAGATGGATCAAATAATGCATTCATATTGACAATATAATAAAGCAGCAGTTGAAAAAAAAAACATATCCTTAGATAAAATAGAAATTCATGTGATGTATGTCTTCCAAGATGAAATACAAATATTTTCAAAAATAAATAATTTGAAAGAATGCTAAAAATGTTTGATTTGACAATAGCCCAATACCGACTAAAAAAATAGTCTGAACGGAAGATCCGGATATATTCCTTGCATTACATGTTAAATTTGGCCACAAAACTTATATTGCATTTGAGGAAGTTATTCAGCTGCATCTCAAGGATCCATTAAATTATAAATAAAAAATAACTCCTAATCACATTTAAGAAGCTTTCTTCTCAAGCACAACAATTTCCTTGTGCAACCATGTTTGCTTTAGGAAAAGTCAAGCGCAACATAAGGTAGCTATTAATGAGCCAAACACAATCAAACAATTTAAAGGTTTTCTTCATCAATTTATCATCCATCATACTACCAAGCTAAATTCTCTCATGTTGTAAATGTGCATTCGGCCTTTATTCAATAATTTGAACTATTACTCTAGTTTAGCTTCTAAAAACAATGCTTCCAATTTTGACCTGATATTTTCCTTCCATCTTATAATGATCAAAGAATATCACTGCAGGAAGTCCACAACACCTTCAAATAATAGTATCAATGCAAAGAAGCATAGGTATTACATAATACAAGTACAAAACATCAGATCCATAACTAGAAACATCGGATCCATCAGTAATAGTCTGCTTGATAAAAAAAATCCAAACCCACGTGCTACTTCGGCGAGGAAGATGAATGATATCAGATCCATTCGCCAAAAAGTGCAGAATGACAAAATATATAAATCAGGACAAAGAAATAACTGAGGAAGATGAAGGAAAGGAAATCAGGACTCAATTAGCATTCAGGACTCAATTAGCATTCTCAGGAAGATAACCGCAGACATTGAAAAAAAAAAGGAAGGAGATACGATGGTTAGATACAAACATACCTTAAGAGACTTCTATTAGGGTTCTACGAAGGAGATACGAACGAGAGTTGCTTGCAAAATTAGGGCAGAGAAGCGATGAGGAGCGCAAGAGTTGCTTGCGAAATTAAGGAAGAGGAGTGACGAGACCAGGGGCAGCAAGTGTCTTTCTAAACAATGAAACGCAGATCGCGGGTAGGACCCCGCGATCCGCGTGTAATTGTAAATTGGAAACTTCGTTTTGTAAAATGCATCTGGCAAGTGTTTTCCAAATGCGGGGTAGCATTTTCAAAACGCCACCGCAGTAAAACACCCTCCCAAACACACCCTAAATTTGAGTAAATGAGTTCACTCTTCTCATGAATTAGGGAAGATGGAGTTACAAAGATAATCATTATAAATGTACAACAGTTACTTGTCGATAGTAGTCATAGTCTAGCTGTAATTAGTGTAGTTCTCGATGAAAGTAGGCTGCAAGAGCCGTTGTCGTTTGTTATGAAAACAAAAATTTTTCGTAAATGTTGGAGGTGGCAGCTGTAGCACCAGCTTATCGAATATAAAATGATTGAAATTTATGATATTGGCTTGATTCAACTCATATTGGCCCGATTTTTTTACCGTTCGGTTCGTCTCGTCGAACCAGCCAGTTTGACTATGAATTTGATCTAATCGGAGCTCTTGATGACTTTGAATTGAAGTTTGAATCTTTCTTGCTAAAAAAAATGTATCTCGATATGTAATGTGCCTCAAAATTCATGCCAAATTTTGAAAATTTGTGCGTGACTTGTAGAATAGCATTTGAATGAAAATTTTGGTTATATATTGTAAGTTTAGATTTATTAAATTTTTTGTGGGTTAACTTTTATAAATTATCGGATAATTGTGTAGTTAATTTAATAAATTTATCGATATTTGTTTCATGATTTAAGAGTTTATATGAGTTGAATGTTTGTTATTTCTATTTTGGTTTCAATAATCTTGGTGCTGTTCTCTCAGACAAGTTTGAAGACCAAAAATCAAATTCATGCTTATATAATAAATGTAAAGTCAGGGAAATACTATATAGTCATTGAACCAACTGATTTAGCAATTACCAAATTGTTTTTGTAAAAATGCATCAACTACTTATAGGGTTCAAGCAGTATATTAGTTCGATATGATTTAAACAAAACATGATTGATTCTGTGATACCTTGATAACCACTTAACAAGTTATTCAATTCAGGGGCAAAATAGTCATTTATCCAAAAACAACTGCAAATCAAATGTTTTCCAAACGCACAAACCAAACAGAAAAACAACTTACAGAATCAGCTGTAGATACACAACTTATCAGGATAAACTGCTTATCAGATAGTCTCCCAAACAAACATTTATATTGTCTGACTTTTGGCACATTTACATACATACCACCCGATAACTTCTAAATTTTGCATTTTACATTTATACCACCTAAATGTTTCATATAACATAAAAAATAAAAAATTGTATCATTTTAACTTAAAAAAAGTACAATACACTTTTAATGCATTGAAAAGGTGACACATATATAAATATGAAAGTTTGGCTGGTAGATATGTAAATACATAGGAATTGAGTGATATTTATGTAAATTTACTAAATTTAAAATATGACTCAAATCAATTTAAATATTTACGAAAGCTCCACATTCAAAATTCAAATAACTCTTGTAATAAAAATCATTGTTCGGCAAATTTTGAGATGCTTATATTGGATTTTAGCATATGGGATTATTTATAAGGTCATCACCAAAATTTATGACATAACAAACCTTACATATTTTTAAATTATGTCTTAACACACATTATTTTGCATAAATTTGTAACCACTGCCCTAAAAAAAAAAAAATAAATGCAATAAGGATTCCATGAAACTACAATCAATGGTATTTTACCATCCATCACATGTCTATCAAAGCTATTGTATTTTAATAATGAGTAGATAGCCGCGACAACATATTTGCGACAACAACGATAATATGTGACAACTTGATGTCAATAATGGTGGGGCGGCCATAGCGAGCGAACATAGGGCGATTAATAGGAGGGTCGATGGAGGGAGAAATTATTGCATACGGACACCGCATGCATCTCTACATGCGGTGTCCGATCCTGACCGTTGATCACGGTGATCTACAATCAGGATAATTTCAAATTTTTTTTAAACTAAAAAATTTAGGTGGGGCCCACCGAAATACATCCTGACCGTAAATCATTTGATTTACGGCCAGGATCAGACAGATCCGTATGAAATAATTTTTTCGATGGAGGAGGGGCGATGACAAGTGACAACAACACTTTACATTAAGACGTAAATTTATAAATTATTTAAATTAGACGTTTTTCAAATACAAAAAAAAAGACCTAAAATTTAAATAAACTATTATTTTACATTGAATTTCGAATTTTTTTTTAAAAAATTGAATTTTCAAATTCCTTGCGTGAGGAATAAAAATACATGAAACTTCTTTTTCTCATTTTAAACATAGCCTGATTGTATGGATAAGTCCATTCTACCCTCGGCGCCGGCTTGAAGGGCAAGGCGAATCGAACGGTCATCAATTACGCACTTTCGCGATTAACGGCTGTTTTCCTGAAGCGCCGCCTTCATTCTTAAACCCTACAGCTCCACCAAACCCTTTTTCTTCCGGGGCCTTTAATCGAGTTCCCCCGCCATTTTTACCTCTACCTCCGACCTAAACTCTCCGGCGAGAAAATGGCTAGAGCTCACCTTGCTCTTTTATCGTCCGCCATAACCTCCGCTGTGGCGGCGGTGGATTGCGCTTACGCCGATACCTCATTCCACGTACCCTTGTTTTCCTCTCCTTCTGCTGCTCCTCCTCCTCAAGATTCTTCCTCCGGCGGCGCTCCTAATGGAGTTGGCTCTTTGCAGACCCCGCCGCTGGAGGAGAATAGGGTTCGCAACGACAATCCCCGGACCACTGCTTCGGGATTCGATCCAGAAGCGTTGGAGAGGGGAGCGAAGGCATTGAGAGAGATCAATAATTCATCGCACGCCAAGAAGGTAGCCACGGAGTTTCTAAATTTGCTGTATGTTATTGTGCATGATGCCATGGTTCTGGAATCTAGAATTTGGTTTTAAATTATATTCGGCTTTTGTAGGTTTTTGAGTTGTTGAGAAAGCAAGAAGAGACGAGGCAAACAGAGTTGACTGCAGAGAAAGCAAAGTTCCAGGCTTTACAATCTCAGCATGAAACCGTAAGTTTTGAAATATGAATTATACAATCTTTGAAAGTAGACTTTTTTACCTATTGGTTTTTACCTATTGGTTTGATCGAGGAAAAAAAAAAAAATGGAGATTCACAGTTGGAAAAGAAAACTCAGCCTTTATAGTCTTGATGTGTTTAGTGCTGGTATTATTGAGAGGTAACAGTTGAGCTGGGGACCATGTCCTGCCCATAGGAGGTCAGCATCTTTCCTCATAGTTGGTAACCGATGATCCTAGGGGAAGCATATACACTTAAGTAATCAGAGTCGACTCCGAGCTAGCTCACGAGTTTGCTCGACTCAGTCCCACTCATAATTCCTTTGTCAATACTCAAGTTCTCAGTTCATACACAGATGGTGGTTTAAGTCATCTGTCATAAGAACTATAGGGAGTTTTTGCTAGCACAAAGGATTTAACTTAAATAGGATTTAATAAATTCTGTAAATCTGGATTTATCAAATCCAGGGGCTGTTAAATCCAGAAAAGTATTTGGTATATTTAAGATTAATCCTGTTAAATCCAGAAAAGTATTTGGTATATTTAAGATTAATCCTGTTAAATCCATTTGACATGTTTGACATCTAATTTCAGTATTAACAACAGTTGGTTTAAATAGGATCATACCACTTATATTTACAGACCAAAAAAAAAAAAAAAAAAACTTCTGCAAGCCAGAATCAACTAGCCACAACTGTGTGATAGAAGAGCATTTGAATGAAAATAAAATGCAATTTACACAAACACCATCAATTTGTATATCTTTACGCCACAAAACGAATACTTTACCATTCATATTTTTATCATCCAAATCTTACATAACACATAAATAATACCACTACTTTAGCTTTCAATAAGTCGAATACACCTTTCATGTTTATGTAAGATGATATGTATGTAATGCAAACACAAAAAAAAAAAATTATGGAGTGAATATTACATTCTTCAGGACATTTTCATAACTTGCCTTATAGATCGACGAAAAGGCTAAAATAAAAATATCAACTTCTCTTTAATTGGGTGGCCTCATTTTGCTTTAACCTTCTTGGCCTAAGAACCAAACGGGAAAAGGAGATAAAAATGAAAGGTTGTGTAGAAATTCTCAACACAAGCTTTAAGAATCAATCAAAAAGCCTTAAGAATTTCAAAGCCCCTGGTTGACCACGCCTCCATCAACACTTAACTTGTGATTTGAAGCTGTCAAAAATAGTCAAAATATAATTGTAGACAGCAAAAAAACTTAATAAACTCCATCAAGCTTCAAAAACAAAGATGAGAATAAGCAGAGAAGCGTAATTGAAGACGGGTTTTCTTGAAGATGCATTTATAGCCAACTAAACTTTTTTCAAATAGAGAAATGCGTATTAAACCACATCATAAAACTTTAGCTTACATAATTTAATAAAATCCCTAAATTCATACAAATAAAAAATTCGACAACGAATAAAACCATCTTCTTTATAAGTCATAACACCTCCCAATCAGTGAGATATATCGAAATTTAACCAGTTATGCAAGAATTGATAAAGATATATTCTTTATTTGATATGAGGCAGTTACTCAGCTTGATCGACATTTTTGAGCCATTACCTAGTAGCAAAAAAATATTCTTTAATCATATGCAAATTCTTAAATAGAAAATGACGACAATAACAAAGAATAGTAATGCTTACACGTGCTGCTCATAAATTATTTTCAATTGCATCTCGTACTGCATTTTCTCGAAGTTACTTAGCAATTGCTGTATGCATGTCGAGATTTCCGTTAATGCCAGTAACCTCACCTATCTGACTATCATGCTCCATTTCAGTTTGGGACATATTAAAATATAAATCACTCCCATGATAACGTCCAATGAAATTGTGCAAGACTGCAAAAACCATCACAATTTTTGCTTGTACCTTAGTTGGGAACTTACGCATGTGACTTAAAACTTGAAATCTTTCTTTCCAACTCTCAAAAATTCTTTCAACAACATTCCATAGCTATGAGTGGCGATGATTAAATAACTCATGTGTTGTTGAGTTTCCACGTGGTTGTACAATAATCACTGAAATCTTAACTGTTAGAAGCTATATTAGGAAATAATTTATTCTTGTTAGAAGCTATTATGATTAAATATATTTCATTGGATTAGAGCTATTTTTTTTTCCAATTTTATGTTTTATGTTGTTTCCTTTATCTCTAAGTAATTAATATAAATTGATTAATTGAAAATATAGGTGCTATATCTTTTCTTTTATGTTATCTCTTTTTTATTGTCTTTTCCATTCTAGGATTCATGTAAGGGTTATTTGTACTCCCATTTAGTATCAATAATATAATTTCACATTATTCTGAATGTCAACATAGTATCAGAGCCAAATTCCCTACCCTAGCTTCGACCCTCCCTTCAAAGCCACCAGATTCCCTTCCTGCCATCCTCCCCGTAGGAAGAGAGGGATGCTTTCTCTTTGTTATCCTGTGGCGGCGCTCACTCATCTTTTTCGCTCATAGGGTTTTGTTGATATTTCTAATTTCAACTCTTCAGTCACTCTTCATCGTGCCATCTTCCCCTATTGTTAGGGCTTCAATCTATCAACCTACACCATCTTGATATCTTGTCCCGCTTTTGTCTGTAATCCTCTACGCTAGATCTGATTATGGCGACTGTTGTCCCCACTGCAAATCAAGTCACAAATTTGCTGCAGAAGCTGAAGTTGGAATCCAAGAGCAAGACTCATGATGCTACGGAGGTTGCTAAGGAGCTGACTGGTATTCAATATGGTTTAGCAAATGGTGTGGAAGCACCAAAAGTTCAGATCCCGTCATCGTTGAGATTTGTGACCCTTGTTCTTCCAGAGTACATGGATCATAATATTTGGTATCTGCATAACAATTATCCATCGTCAACTTATTATTACGGAGGTTATGATGGTTCGATTGGAGATTGGGATGAGTATTCTAGATATTATAGCCCTGAAGTAGTGGAGATGCCACATGGAGTTTATGGCGATTTGTTTCATCATGGGTATAGATATACACCTTATGGTGCTTATACCTCTTCTGCTTCTGCTGTTCCGACTCTTGGCCACGACAGCCAAATGTATCTCACCTAACATTACCAATATCTTTCTTTATATTTCAAACTTCAAGCAATCCCAAATGGAGGATACTCTTCCAACTATGCTCTTACTTCTCAGCCAGAAGTTAATTCACTTTTTGTTGCTTTTCAGATCCTCGTGTCTGTAGATGCTGCAAAATCAAATTCAATTGTGGTCAATAATGTTAGTGTCTCCGGGAACGGTGAGCCCCAATATCTAAAACAAAATCAACAAAATTCATTATATATTTTCTTTCATGTTATTTCTTTTTTATAGTCTTTCCTATTCTATGATTCATGTAAGGGTTATTTATACCCTCATTTTATATCAATAATATAATTCTGCATTATTTTGAATTTCTACAGTAACGATATATCTTAAAAGGTGCTTTCATCTTCTCAGTATTTGCATATTCCGAGTCAACCAAATAATATTTATTTTTAGAAACTGTAAATCCTACGCCGTCCCTCCCCACCCATAGCGACCGTCATAATACCCTCATATCGACAATAGAGAGTTCCCAACCAGCGACAATGAATACAAATTGGCGATCAAACGTAACTGCATCCATCACATTTTGTGACGTAAATTTTGTTTTTATTACATTATGTGTTTTGTGCACTCTGCTAACCACTGTAGAGATGTGAGTTTCATCAATCGCCTCTATATTATTTTGAAAATATCGGTAAAACTGTGCGGTTGTGCTTATGAAAGGGTTAATGGTCACAATTCACTTTTGCCGGGGGCAATTTAATGAAATCTTTTAATATTTATGTAATCGCTTGTAACACAAGATTGAAGTATCTTCTTACTATTTTCAATGAGTGTCGGAAAAAATCAAAAAATTTGACTATAACTATGAGCGTGTGCGACTCCTCTAAGAAAAATTCATAGTTTTTTTGCAATCTTCATAGTCTTAGTATCAGCCAGTAGTTTTTTGTTAATCAATAGATATCTTAACCGTATAAAAGCCTCTGTTGAAAGCCTAAAACAGTTATAGGATCTCGTTGGATGACCGATTAACACATTCTAAACATACTGACGATCGGTGTTGGATCGATGAAACTTGAGCCTTCGAAAATATTCATTATCATTCGATGAACTCTATTCATCCAAAATAGCAGGTATCAACTCTGTTATAGCACGACTTAACTATAAATGCATGTTAACTATTTCACGGATCTCCTCCATAAAAAATGTGGCATTGCTGAATTTAAATTGATAGTACATTTTAAGAAATGAGAGCAATTAGAAAACTTTTGTATATTTTATCTGAATTCAGGAAGTTGAACAGGATTAAAAAGGACAAAATTGTCAAGCAACTGAAATCCAATTGAGAAAAGGTCTCCGAGCTTCAAGAGATAGTTGAAATCCAATTCAGAAAGTAAAAAAAAAAACAACTTGGCTTTAAGTTGCAAATAATGAATTTCATAATTAAACTTATGCACATTTACATACATACAATTGCCAGTTTTTATTTATTTACTTTCCTTAGACATGAACTTCAAGATTTGGGTGGCATAAATGTAAAAAATAAAGCTTAGGTGTTCGACATTGGGGATATGCTTAGAAGCAATTGAGAGGTGCTTGGAGATATGCTAAGGAAATACTGTTTATGATAAATTTGTTTCCAGATATGTGGAGTTCATCTCAACTTCTTGATTATTATACTAAATATATACACCTAAACTTCAATTTATGTATATACTAGAACTTGATTCTGGTTTTGAATTGGTGCCGTGAGATGTAGCATCACTAGGGGTGAGCATTTGGTTGGTTTTAAAATTGATCAAACCCATTACAGCCGAGATCCATAATCCAAAAAATAGAATCAATCAAAATTTTGATAAAACCGAACTGACCAAATAAAAAATTGATCCGGTTTAAACAGTTCAGTTATGAAAAAGGTCGAAATTTAATTGTTTATTAAAATTGGGCTTAGAATAAGCATTACGAATTATATCTTATCCGCATAATATTGATTTGATTTCATGAATCCTTTATTTCTTTCAATTAAACATTAAATATAGTATAAATTTTAATTTTCTTAATTTTTTTGGCATGAAATTAAAATATAATAAATATTTTTAGTAAAATATTGGTTTTTCGGTTAAATGAAAATTAAAACCAAACCGAAGCCGAAAATCGAATATTGAAGTTTTTAAAAACCAAAAACCAAAATCAAATTTTAAAACAGAATCAAACAAACCAAATTTGATTGGTTCGGTTCATTTTCTAGTTTTGGCGAAATATTGCGCACCCCTAAGCATCACAATACATTATCTTTAAGGATGAGTTACAAATTGTTGAAATTTAGAATAATGCAGAATAATATTATTGATATAAAAAAAATGTATAAATACCCTTACATGAATCCTAAAATTGGAATTTAATTGTTTATTAAAATTGGGTTTAGAATAAGCATTATGAATTATGTCTTATCCACATAATATTGATTTGATTTCATGAATCTTTTATTTCTTTCAATTAAACATTAAATATAGTAAAAATTTTAATTTTCTTAGTTTTTTTGGCATGAAATTAAAATATAATAAAATTTTTTAAAGTAAAATATTGGTTTTTCCGTTTGTTCGGTTAAATGAAAATTAAAACCAAATTGAAACTGAAAATCGAATATTGAAGTTTTTAAAAACCAAAAACCAAAATCAAATTTTAAAACGAAATCAAACAAACCAAATTTGATCTGTTTGGCTTGGTTTTCTAGTTTTGGCCAAATATTTTTCACCCCTAAGCATTACAATACATTATATTTAAGGAAGAGTTACAAATTTTTGAAATTTAGAATAGTGCAAAATAGTATTATTGATATGAAAAATGATATAAATACCCTTACATGAATCCTAGAATTGGAAAGACAATAAAAAGAAATAACATGAATATGAATGACATAACGTTCTAATATCTCTAATAATCAATTCATATTAATTATTTATAGATAAAAGAAGTAACATAAAATAGGAAAGAAAATAATTCATAATTCAATGAAATAAATATAAATTAGGAAAAAAATAACTCCTAATCCAAGCAAATAATTTATTCCTTATAATATCCTACATAAATAAATTATTTTTTACTATAACTTTTAACACTGTCATTCAAGTCAAAACATGGTTGAAAAATATGTTTAAATTGGATATGAAACCATCAAACAATGGGCAAGGGAGATCCCATGAAGTTGAACTTGAAGTCATCATTTCGTACTAGAGCTATCTTTGACTGCAGTTCCTGCAGTTTTTGTAGGTAGTTGAAAGACTCCTACAGGTAATGCGGCAGATAAATTTGCTGAGAAGTAAATAATTGTTATTTTTTTTACTACAGTTCTTGCAACGTCTGTAGGTAGAAGAAATACTCCTACAAGTAATGTTGCAGGGTAGTTTGCAGGAAAGTAGACAACTATAATTGTTTTTTATTGCAGTTCCTGCATTGTCTGTATGTAGGTATAATACTTCTACAAGTAATGCGACGGTGGAGTTTGCGGGAAAATAGACAACCAAGTTGAAAGTTTGCAGGGTGTGACCGGTAGAAAACAAAAAATGAACAGCTCTAGAGGTAGACCTTGCTGCAAGAAAGGATTGGGGGGAGGGTCTGATAAAAAAAAAAAAAAAAAAAAAACTCTGGAGGAGAGTCTGCTGCAATAAAAGCTTTGGAGGAGATTTGCTACAGGAAATATTCCGGAGAAGGGCCTGATGCAAATAAAAGTTCCGGAAAAGAGCTTCTTGCAGGAAAAGGCTCCGGAGGAGGAAAAAAAAAAAAAAAAAAAAAAAAAAAAAAATCCTCTTGTAGAAGGCCTGTTGTATGAAAAAACACTGGAGGAGGGCTTGATATGAGATACGACCACCCAAGAACAGTTATTGCTTAGATGACATCATATACAGTTGCCTCTAGGGTTCAAGAAAACTTTGCAGTAACTGTGCTTTGTTCAGGACATTCAAGCTTAAGCAAATCCAAGCTCTGAAAACTTTAGGTGGGCCTCAACATAATCAACAAAGAAGGCATCCTCATCTGCAACATATTTATTCACAAAAGGGCGGAAAATTTGGTCACCTAGAAGGGCCTTATCGACTGTATCCGATAAATCTTCTAATATCTAAGTCATCATCAAGCAGAGATCTCTAAACAAATTCATCCTCATCAATTGTAAAGAAACGCCCTACAACAGGAAGCAACCGAGTCGCATCATTCAACATCAACTTCCTTGTATGCTTCTTCAGAATCTCCCACAAAAGCATAAACCGCATATATAAAAACAAAGAAGATTGCTCCCCAAACATTTATCTTCCCAACAATTAAGGTCAATGACAAGGCTGAAAAAGACTAATAAGAAGAATCCAATATCTGTCATGAAACATTTACTGTCAATGTGGACATTCTTTCTAGCAATAATTAAAGAAATAGTCCCAACAACTATGCAAGCAACAAAGGTTGCACCACCATGCATGCTGTTAAGACCAACCTCCCCAGCTTTAGTTCCCACGACGGCTGCAATGCTGACAAAATCTTTAGGTGCCCCATTTCCAAGCGGAAGTAAGGTCACACCAACAACAGTAGGTGTAAGCTTCAATAAAGCGAAGAGTTTTGCGAGGCGACAACACCTGTGTTGCCTAATAAATACGAGAAGCCACAAAACAAAAACAACATACTCCATGATTTGAACTTTCTCACTAGTAAAAGAAGATGTAATCGATGAACCCACCAAAACCATAGTTGGGGTACGACTTTAGAAAATCACACCGAGCGCCCATGAGTTGGGCTATCCTGGAGCAAGCGTCCATTGGATTCTTTAGATCATTCTGTGCAATTTCCCGCGACGAAGTAAGAAGGCTTGTAGGGATGACGATAAAAAATTGGGGACTGTTTCGGAAGCGGCCTAAGGGAGATAAAACTAGTGCTTTTGTGGAAGAGAGGATTTCAGATAACATTTGCTTCAATTTCTCTATTCAATTAGTTAAGAGAGATTTTAGGGTTTCTGAAGTCAATTATCGTGATACAGTTGAGGCTGAAAAATTCGTCGAGTACGACGCGTGCAATTGGTAGATCTGCGAGTGTCGAGAAGGATGAAGAAGGTGAAGGGCGCAAGCGGGTTGGGAGAGAAAA